GGGAAAAGCAAGCTAATGTAAAATAAAAAAATATAGGTCTCCAGGGAATATTTAACAAAGAGTTGAAAGCTCTGTCAAATATTTGTACTTGAGCTAATCAGGTCCCAATTTAATCAACACACACTTAAAGTCATCGCCATTTTAAAACAGTTGCTGTCTACCGAATTTCTGAAGTATCAAAAAGAAAATCGTTGTGACAGGAGGAAACAATTTCATTATGGATATACATTTCAGTGAATCGAGCAACTGACTCTTTAAATACGGTCGCACTAAAAAATTTCAAAATGCCACATACATTAAAACATGCCTTTTAAACACAGTCTTATATATAAATTACTTGTAATAATAAGCTAACTGGCAATTTCAATTCGTATTTCATAAAGTACTTAGGCAAGTTTTATAAGCCGAACAACATCGATCCATATAAATTCGTTTACCCACATAAGAAGAAATTATTCATTATTTATATTTTTGTTTCTGAAAATTATTATTCCGTCTTAATTCACTGATTAACTACTTGTGGAAAAATTCAATTTCCACAATTATTGATTATTTAAGAACATTTTCGTTGTTTATCCAACTTGTCATCACCGTTTTATCTATTTTTTTAATTTTAAGATGTGATAGGAGTGTGTTTTATATTTTCGTTTTCATGTGAAATATATCCTGGGTTTTCCTGAGTATATATATATATATTATATATATATATATATATATATATATATATATATATACAGAGAGAGAGAGTATCGGTTTAAACATGACGTACATATTAAACGCGTAGAACGAAACATTCAAAATAATTGAAATAAAAGAACTGACTATAAAAATTAAAAGTTAATGAATATTGACTGTTGTAGTTCATTTTGTCTTTCAGTTACCTTGCTTAGACTAGTGAACACTAAGACTGCATAAAGCCATAATGTTTTATTGAATAGTTTGAATCATCAGTTTTGATATCGATATATTTTTTAAACATGCCTACAAGCTATACGTCAAGGAGCACCTTAGCTTAATAAGTATGCATCAAATACTTTTTTATACTCCTAGACGCGTTTTTCACTAACGGTGGAACATTTTTTTTGAAAATCTTCGTCATCGAAATCGTGACTCTATTACAGTTCTGCAGTAATGCAATAGCCTTAGAGTAAATCATACAACTGAGGCCGTAGGAGAGAATTTCGAACATGAACCAGTAAGAAAATCTCAATAAAGCGCATCATATAATAAAATTAGTTCGTTATAGCAGAAACACATTTATTTGGTAATGCCCAGGCATAATGATTTACTTCGCAAGTTTTTTCACAACAAATATTCATTGCTTACACTCTGTCCCGTAAGCTAAGAACGATGTTTTATTTTTGACTCTACATCTGTAACACAACTGGTAAGGTTAAGTAAAAATTATGATTGTGAAAACACGTTTTTCAAAATGTCATAAATATGCTTGTTTTTTCAAACGTAATTGTTTGTGAACGATTTTAAAACGAAGTTATAAGGCTGAAATGGGCGCCCGTGAACTAAGGATAAGAATGATAACAAGCAGTCGAAATATGTTTCTTCCTTTTTAGTTTATCTCGATTTTCCTTCAAATCAAACAGTACTGCTTACACTAAAGAGGAAGATTGGATTTGTAAAATCTCAGCGAAAGAATTTGAAGTGAATCGAACGTTTCGTCTGGCAATCTGGTCCAGGCTTTTTTACAGTTTACAGTTTAAAATTCACATTTATTATAAATTCATCAATAAACCGTTAAACATTTATACTTCAAGTCAATCCAAAGGTATCAACGTTAAAGGGATCTTTAATAGACGTGAATGAATATGTAAATTTCAAACTAGGATTGAAGTGATCAGTCTTTCTCGTATAGCGATCTAATAAGTCAAATTTTCGACAGTATTTGTAAAAATTGGTTTCCCACTTTTTCTCTGTTACCAATGATCACTAATTATGAGCTAAAATACAAGGACGCTGATATTTGATTCTAATTGATCTCTTTGTTTTCATAAAGACTACTACATAGAAGGATTTGGTCTATTGAAATGATATTTGTAATTTCGTTTAAAATACTTTTCAGTTCAATCTTCCAGGATGCTTTTTTAACTTGGTTTTGGACCAATTTTTTGTCCTATTTATCGAACGACTTGCGGAATTTCTGGTAAAGTATAATTCGTTTAACTCTCAAACTTGATGACGTTCTTCAGTTCACATTATGATCAGGAAGTGTCAGATTTCTTGAAAGTAACGTATGTTTGATGTACGAATCGTATTTCTCTTGTCCTAAATGGTAAAAGGGACGACTAAAAAAAACGAATATGCAGAATGTGAGACTGTCTAAAATACACTGTCATCTAACACCAAAAGGCTGAAAACAAAACTGACAAGAATCGACGTTTTCTGGTTTAACAAGAGATAGTTTCAAAATTATGAATGACATGAGTTGTTCCCCCACTTAACGTCAAGTGAAGGAAAAACTAATAAACCTTTGTATGATTTTGTATGCTAACTGAATATACACGGTTTCATGGACATGGTATATGCGTTAGTAACTAGGGTCATTATTTCTCGCCTATTTAATTATTTCGTACGTCACAATATACTACTTAATAAATTCAGTAGTCGACCTAAATTTCGAAGAATTCCAGCTTATAATGTGCAATGAACATTGATTGTTATGTTATCACTGTGTTTTCACTGTAATACTCACTGAACCCTTGTTTAAGTGCAGTCGTTACTAGCTATTATTCAGATTACTATTTGTTTGTAAATTATCTTCATTTAAATATTTCTGAAATCTGTCTTTTTTAGATGATATATATTGATACGTAGAACGCTACATTCACATAATTTGTGATCATAATACCGTCCCCCAGGCAATCTCTTCTTTTTGAATAGGAATTTAACCACTCACTGTTGAACATTTTTGAGGAACCGTACCATTTTATTCGATAAGTACACTATTTAATTTCCACTTTAAGTGTATGTCCAATCATGCTGAAGCATTACAGAACAAACATTACGACGCGATTAATGTATTTTTGTCTCTTCATGGAAGAGAGCGAATTCCTTGAAATTACGTGACGTATGTATGAACGATATTGTATGACTAACGAGTATTTCTGACAGTATATATTGTTCATCTAAAAGTACATTCCACGTTTTATGATTTCCATCTAGTGATATCTTGTTTTAGGACCTTTTGTTAGTCACTATTTTTTGTTCTCAGATTTAAATAATTACACATGGAACTATTCTTAACAGTATAAATTATCTTGATGTGTTCTGTGACGAAAACCTATAGGGATGTGTTGGAAGCTTTGAATCAACTAGTAGAAGGCTTGGACATCATTTTCGTTGGTACATGATATTACTGGCTTGAAAAGTGCTTACGAATTCTATAAATCGTTAACTCATCAAAGTTGATACTTAAAAGATGAATAATTACTTCTTTAACTTTTTTACACTATTTCATCTATTGAATTTTCGTTTTCTGACAACTGTTTCATCTATTTCAACGATTCTCACGACTCTCCCAAAGGACTCGTGTAAGCTTGTCGTTTTTACTGAGCATATATCTTTACAAAACCCATGCCATTGCACAACCAAAGCTTCAGTAACATCTGCGAATGTTGCAGCCAGTGTTACTGATGCTTCTGTTATCCAATTGGCAAAAATTACCATAATTTAATTAAGTCTCAATCTGGATCGAGCAAAAAAAGTTCCTATTCCAGCAGATTTCCTGCTCCAACATATATAACATTGAAAAGCAGCATCATCATGGTAGTCTGCACAAGGTCTACAAGTCATTTCATTGGCACAATTACAAATAAAGGAACTTCTTAGTTGTTCAATTTGTTGTAGCCGCTCAATTATCACGTCTTCTCTAATATCCGCTGTGGACCGATCGTATGTGAGCATCGGGTACAGAAATTGGCACCGTGACCTTGAGATCCCTCAAACGCTACTGATTGGCTCGTACATAAATTATAATCTTATAGTATCGGTTACTATGTTAACCCCACATAACTTATTCTGGCTTCTGGACACGTTAATTTATCCATTCTTCTTGAGTCACGTTTTGACCTTGATAATCGTTCACTAATCAACCCTGACTGTTTTTATATGAGCATATGTTTGTGTACATCTTATCCTACTCATCACATCTCTGTAGTTTATTTTTGTCTAACTATAAATATTGACTAATACTTGATTAAATCGAGTTGACTCACACGCCTTCTCCATTCAACGTCATTTCACTTCGCTCTCTTCTCTTCGCTTTTTCAATCTGCTTCGTTCTTCATTCTTTGTTTCTTCTCCCTGATTGCCTGTTCAAATCAATGAATGCATGAAATATACATCTTCAACATCCATTCTCGTATTTGGCTTATATAATCCCGTTACTCACTAACGCGATTTAAGTCGAAAATAATATACGAGAATAGTCAGTATGCATACTTCGACAGCAATCATTCAATAACAATCATTTGTCCACTTTCAGTGGAGTCAGATCCAGGGCCACTAAAGTCTCACCATATATAGGCCTAGGTGTATTGGACTGAGTGTAAACTGAATGCCATTCCACTATTTGAATGCTATCGATTATACCAGTCAGGTGTGTATTTCTGACAGCTTGTGTTTTCATCTTATTTTTTAATGTAATTGGATAACAAAAAGTAGCACATATATTGGAGCAGCCAGTAGAATTATGTTAATTATATAGTTTTGGACAACATTTTACGATATTTTACATGTAAAAAACAATTGTATTGAATTGTTAACTTTAAAATCTTACGAATATTTTCCATCTTATTACACCAAAAACTTCTAATCATACATAAACTCTTTCATATACATCAATTCATTGTCAATGGACATGTCAACCTATGAGTAAACTACTAACCCATATGAATAACACCAAGTGGTCATGATTGTAAAGACCGAGGTTATAAGAAGGTCATCTAAAATTCAAGCAGCCACGAAACTATTAATCACTCAGAGGATAACCAGTCGTATATATATATAATTGTTCATTTCATTTTAATTAAAAATTATATTCTTTTAATAAACAATTATTTGAATTTGAAAAAAAAACATTATTATTTATCATTAACGAATGAAAATCCGTTATTTTTGATATTAATCATTACTTCAAGAGATCAGTACAGCTTAATGTGTGGTTTTAATTAAGATAAGTAACTACATGAATGAAGAATTGTCGAGATTATTTCACACTTCTCAATAATGTGGTATGTGGTATTTATTGTTTAGTAAAACATTTCATAGATATGAATAATTGTTAAATAAGAAATGAACGCTAGAATAGTTAACCCAATGAACATGCCTATTTGGATGAACAAATGAATACTAGGCATTTTCACTCTATGAAAACTAAATAATTGGATATTGTTAACAATTTTCTATGTTATGACAAGCCTAAATTTGGTTTCTGTTTTTGTTCTTTTTACAACTTGACCAATTTATCATTTGTCAAAAAAAAAAAGACTTTCTGAAAAGTACTTAGTTTTGTACGATAATAAGAATCTGAGCATGTATTAACAATCTGTTTCATTAACATAGTAACAGGAAAGAAATTTAATCAACAGATAGATTACTGTACTTTCTTGAAATGATTTTATTTAGTAGACCACATTATTTTAGGAACCTCAGAAATAAAATAAGATGATGATTGAAGCGATGAGGGTGTTGTGGATCTAGGATGACCAATAGATTTTCCAGAACTCGTTTTCGTTTCTGTAACAGTGTTCTGTTTAAATGTCGAGATCTCTCGCAACAAATCAGTTTTATGAGCACCGTTACAGCTGATATTGGTCAATGAGTTTACCGAATTAAGTTTACTTTGCTCAATAGTTCTTGAACCTTGAATTGTGTTTACGTTTTTAGTATAAGATGGTTGTATTAATGGAAGCTTTGGTTTAGTTGCTATTGGAACTTTGTCATTATTTAGTTCCGTATTACAATGAACTTTGTTCATGGAGTTATCGAAATCTTTAAAATTTTCCGGCGGAGGAATAGTATTGTTCGTTGGTAAAATACTAGATAATGTCTGAAAATGTAGTTTTTCTGCAGCTGTTTTAAATGACTTTTCATTTGATGAAACAATTTCTGCTTGTTGTTTTAAAGTTCTGGTATTATTCTCTGTATACGTTGTATTATGACAACTTTTATTAAGTATTGATTCAGAATCATGGTCATCCTCTCCAGAACCCATTTCAATCAGACGACGGCGTTCAGCTACAGCCCTTCTAAGGTTATCTTCAAAAGATGTTTTCTTAACAGTTTGTGATAATGAAAAGCTTTTGTAAGCAGTATGATTATTAATGTCATAGCCATTAGAATTCTGTTGGCAATTAGAGTGCTGAGTCGCCGGTTCAGTAACATTTAATTCAAATTCCTCTGGAGGCGGGGGTGGAGGGAGTAAGAGCTGATCTGACCAAATATCCTGGTTCCGAGCATCTTCTAAATTTTTAGACGGTTTAATACTTTCTGAAAACTTATCATGTGATGTCTTTTTCAGAATACCTGTTGGCAATTCAGAGTTTATACTGGAAGACGTTTTATTTGGAGTTGTCATAAGTGGCGATGGAGATGGTATTAAATTTATGCTGCTAGAAGATATAGGAGGTGGAGTTGGAGGAGGTGGATGATCAAAGGATAAAGAATTTTCAGGTTTATTTACAGAATCGAAAGTTTTTTCTGAGAGTGTTGGCCTGGACTAAAAAACATAGGACTCACATTAAATAATACTGAGAAGATAAAATATCTGCTATAAATAGAAGAGATTAAACAAAGTTCTAATCATAAAAAGCTAAAATGAATGATTTAATTTTAATTACAAATAACAGATAACCACAATATAAATGACTACAGTGACAAGGAGATCAATTCAGGCGTAAGACTACCTATTTACTAAAGCACCAACTCAAAGCCTCTAACGATTTTACTTATCGATCCTTTTATTGATGATGAAGTCTGTCAAACAACATCACAACATAAAGTACATGGCTCAAGATGTAAGAAGACTTTAGGATGAATATACATCTAAAATCAGAATGTCAAGAAAATATTTCGACAGTTTTCATTTGATAGAAAATATTTTGGGCAATCTTGCCCTACGAAGCAGTAATTATAGCCTTCAGATATTCACTATTTGTCTTCAGTCTTATCTCAGTACAGGTTTTCATTCAGCTTCAAGGAATTTTAATTGATCAACTGACGTCGCTTTAAAAACCACTAGAAACTAGAGGACACTGAATGCTAGTTTTGTCCTACAACGCAAGGATTAAACTTCAAAATCTGGATTCTCGAAGAGAGTTTATTATCTGTACTCCTGAATTTATTGACAAATGTTTTCAAAAATTCTGTTTTTTCATACAGCTTGTTTGCGTCTTATGTTCTGAAAATAAATTTCACACTTCTGAAACTGTTCACACAAAATTTCAGGATTCATAATTGATATTTCTGTAAACCATCAAGAAACAATCACTGGTAGGCAGTTCACTTTTACATAAACAGGTAGTTTGATGAAAATAAATATTTTAGAGTTCACTGAAACTACAGACTAAGAACCCGTAAACGAGTGGCGGTCAATGAGCATTTAAAATAACCACAAATTAGTTCCTAAGTGATATATAGTTTCCATTCGATTCTTAATCGATGTAAGTTCCAATTGAATTTACATTTAAGTACATTATTACTTCAAATTTCTATTAAATTTATTATCCCAGTTGTTTTTAATCACTGATTATTCAACATTTCTGGTCTCTAAAAATTGATGAGATTTCAGCAGATTCTGCAATTTGTATTATATTTTTATTGTTGTCTGATAAGAACACAATCCTCATGTCAGCAAAGCCATTGTGTCCTTGCTTTTTAAATATTAGATTACTCAAATGTGTAAAGATATTTCCTTTAATGGAGTTTTACACAAATATTCCACTAACTCTTCTTTTTTTTACATATTCAGAAGTTTGAGTCTGCACACTAAATACACCAGTTCCGACGCATTTAGTAAATGTATGACTAAATCGAATTGTCGCATAAAACGAACATCGATCGGAACCTTACAAAATTTTTAGGATTCTAAAGTTGAAAAACCAGCGAGCAAGATACATTTAGTCGTAGAGCATAAAATTATCAATACTAATAAAACTATCGAATCCTCAATTAATATACTTACCTTTAAGCTAATAGTCAGATTACATTCTGCTTTTTTATATGGTCCATTTTGGAATACACTTTTAGATAAAGTTCCAGTTGTTAGAACTGGTTTACTAGATGGTGGTGCGGGGGTTGGTGTTCTGTATGAAGGTACGTCCATTGAGGATACCGATGGACTGGGATCTAGTCGAAGAGACTTTAATTTTTCTCCACAGATAAAATCATTGGACGAAGATTTATTTGTTGAGTTTTCTAATAGTATTGAGAAATTATTCTGATTTCTATAAAATGAGTCTCTACAAATGGTTTTGTAAGCATTTTCAGTGTTCCTAGGACAATGATTTTCTACAGATTCACAATGTTTGTTTGAAAACTTATCCTCATAATTGGACTTTTTTGCTTTTGAACTGTAAATGTTGTCTGAAGATTCGTAAAATTTGTTACCTATAGAGGAAATTTTCATTATGAATACTTTATTGACCAAGAATGAGTTTGAAAATAGTTTGAAAATGACAGGAAATAAAGAAATCCTCTGTCATTGGAACATTTTATTAAATTATAACGATGGAAATGGAAGTATAGCGCTGTTTATTCAGGTAATCAAAATTTAACGAAAATAGTGCATCGTCTCATTTATAATATTCACATAATATGCATTAATGAAACAAATGTATATTACTCAAAACCATAAGTCAGACCGTTCGTTCTAAGCGTATATGAGTATTCGTTCATATCGAAGTTGATATAGAGAGAGCCGATCAGAAGTAGCCTAATGAGAAGTTCAACCAATGACAATCAGAAATGACCTAAACGACAAGTGCATTTCATTGGCAAAGAAATGGATAAATATCCTATGGATTAGAGTGGTATACATATGGATGAGTCTTCGTGCATTTTATTCAGTGTCCCAATACACTGTATCTCTCACTCTTGTGTTCTCGCTCACGTAGTCAGTTGGGAAGTTAGCGCGTAGCACACTGTGTATCAGTATCAGATTTTGGACACCACCCGTAACAACAGAAGTCCATAGAGTTTATGAGTAGAATGAATGATATATTACGCCAGTTTGCTTACAGACTTATAAAAAATGCAGTTGTTTGTAAATGTCTGAATATTTAAAAATGTAAATCCCACCAGAAATCCAAATCAGCAAACAACAAGTGAAAATTAGGTAGACTATTTATTATGGATTTTCCTTCTGTCACTCTCGATTACTTGGTTGTAAGATAATACTCTTAAAATATAAGTTATTATGTATGCATATAAAAAAATTATTTGCATCTTTCAGACTAAAACAATATCAGTATGGCCAAAATAACGGGAAAAATAGTATGAATATTGTCTAAAACTATCACTTACTTTTTGCGGATTGATGTGATAATTTGGGAGTTGAATTAATTTGATCCGAGTCAACAGTTATCACTTTTAGACCTAAAATATCACTGGAACCTCTAATAAGTGAGACAACAGCTTCATGTGACATTGTAGTAACGTTGATATTATTTACCTGAAGGAGAGAAGGATAAAATAGTTATAAATAAATGAACTGGTGTTTTACGAAAAATGTTATTCACATTATGCAAATAAGATTGGCGTTTTTCGGGATACGATATTGAAATGTTTTCGTCGGTGTCAAAAACACTCTTAAAGTACCATGGGAACAACAGCAACACAGGCATGGATATTCTCTTCTACTGATAACCTATCAAATAACAATACTTATCCATACCATTGAACAACAGGTAATGGAAGAATAATATATTGTTCAGCAAACCGATGAATTTCCTCTTTTACGGCCAGAAACGTATTACGCGGTCGACACTGTGAATTGTTTAACTGAAACGAAGTAATTAAATTAATAATCACTAATAGTAAAAAATCTGCTCATACATGTTCAGTCACTTTACCATTCTCTGAAAAATTCCATTATTGTCCTCAGTAACTGTTTTGATGTGAAATTCGAATAAAACAACTGGGGTCCAACCATCTGGATTATCATGTAGGTGCTGAATTTACAGTGTATTTAGGATGTTGTTAAACGTTTTGCAATAATTTTCTGGATTTCCATTTATTTCCCCCAATATTCTGATAATAACACAAGATCGATATAATTTTATACTACTTATATTGAAAACAGTAACTAAACACGTACTGTTAAACCTAAACAAACCAAACGGTTGATAAGCGACATAAAAAGAACCAAAAACTTGTTGATATTTGTAGTCAAAATCAGTATTTTACTCATCTTGAGGCTTCAAGATAAAAAAATTCAAAGACTTTAATATACCTTCCATTTAATTTCCAATTTTATTAGTTATTTAAGTAATGTCAGGAACGGACTGCATGTAATTGTTTGCATATTACCGATAAATGCTACCTAAACAATGTATTTTATGATGACTTTTAAGCAACTACTTTGTTCATGGCTGTAACTGCTGGTGTACAGAGATTCTTTAAAAACTGTAAAAGCAAATCATCATAATGACGTAATTTTTGTGAGATCTCTCTAAGTAGGATGAAGTAACGGTTTCTACTCAGCCTTTTAAATGTTCGTTGATGGCATTGAAGCATACTAAAAGTGTCTATTTCTTTATAAATCAGTAACATGTAAGAAAAACATTATAAAAATACTGAAAGTGAATAGTGTTCTGTTTGTTTATAAGTACGTGTGCAACCATCCATCCAAAAGTGATTATCAATCTTTCAAAAAAATTTCACTAGTATTTGCGATAAGAAATAACTTAGTTTACTGTTAATTTTGACGGACAATATTACTTTTCTCACGAAAATTAGTATTGCATGTCAAGTACTTCTGTTGAAAAACAAACGCTGTAGATGTAATTAGCTAATGAATTTATAGAGCTTTATGAAGCCCGTTAGACTTCTGATACGACCAATTTTCCTAAAGTATGGTTTGAAGACTTTTTGTGAGTGTTTGATATGAAACTCTGAGTAAACTGAAAGTGTTATTTACCTGCCTTCTTTTAAGAAATATTTTTTCGCTGGAATTTCACATATATCCGCTTTACAGTTACTTTTGATTATTTTTCATGGGAGATTGATGTTAATTACAATGTTCCTAGAATCTTAACGTTTTCGAACAAGTGAACTGAAAAATAACAACATTTCCATGCTAAACTAAAACAACATAAATCCTTGAACGATAAATTTGAATGTTTAACATTTATCTCACATTGAATAAATTCAATATTAAACAAACATTCTGTAACCAACTTTCCAAGTTCATGACAGTCGTTTCTTAGAACGTTGTATGAAAAGTATAAATACTTGCATTCATACTATTCATTCAAATTTGCTTCATGTTTAATATCACTATAGTCTTAACAGTAATAATGTTCGTATCTAAGAGGTACTATTCAGATTTATGTCTGAAATTGCATTTTCAAATGATCTCCATCATAACAACAGCTGGAATACACAGGTTCCAAAATTACATAAACAAAACATGAAAATATAACAGCTGAATTCGCGAATCGAAAACCTACAAGCACCGGTGGACCGTTTCACCCTAGAACGGGATGCGTCAGCAGTTCACATCCACGATCGCGCACGTGAGACTCGTACACGAGACTTTCGAACACGCGCGCAAACGCTTAACCTCTTGACCACTGAGCCAGCAATGTTAAGGTTTAACTTCAGTCGACCTATAGTATTGCGTGGTCTAGAGATTAGGCGTTCGCCCGTGAGACCGAAAACGTGGTTTTTTCTTTAGTAATATCTAAAGGTCACTAGAATCGATTGGTTTTCTGTGAAATACGTTTATTATTCTTTTTTTCTGTTTCAGATATTTGGTTAAAAAATGACTTTAAAATACATTAGTTTGAGTGAAATTAAATGAATAGGTAAATTCACTAAATACTAATTGATACCAGTCTAAGTATGCTTATTCGATAAGTAATTAGTAATGCTTAAAAGCTTAGTATTAGCTCAACCACGTATTTGACACTAAAATTTAACTTACCTCCAATATAAAATCACCTGCTTTCAAACCTGCCTTGCTTGCTGCACTATGGGGTTCAACTTTCTCAAGGTATTGTGATGCTGGACACTCAAGACATGGTGTAAAATTTCCAGATATTCCTATACAAAAAGGCCAAAGATTATTACACATTATTCACAGTTTAATCGTTCACAGAGTAATTCTGGTAAATTCAATTTAGATTAATTTTAGTATAAAAAGAATTAGGATAGAATGGTTTATGAAATTTGAAAGATTTTCTAAAGACATTTGTTCTAATTTGATATGACCATATGTTACTAATATCAACTCAAAGTGAATAATTCTCTCTTTTTGTTTAAGCTTTTGACTTTATTAATAATAAGCAATTCAAAAGTAACCGATGAGTAAGTTCACCATTTTCAGTTTATTTCACCGACGTCAATCAACTTTTCTTCGTATACAGTAACATACATGGTATTGTAATACAATATTTTTGATCACATAGCTGTACAGGTTGAAGACAAATGAGTTCTAGGTTAAAGAATTGATTGCTTTGGCTTGATATCTATGAAAAGTATTTACTTTCTGTTGTGTTGTTTCACTTGCACTAACCTATGATTGAATAAGCTGTTTAAACCCAATCACATATTTTTTTATTGCATATATGGATTTGCGTTAAAACGCTTACTAAAACAAACCTTATGTAAAACAATCATTTATGAGTGGTAGCTGTTAAAGACGTTACAGTCTGATATTGATTTTTACACAGTTGACTAATTTGAACTATCTAGTATATTCTTTTTAATTTGACTGTTTTCGTGATTAAAATAAGTACAATAATCCGTGACAAACAACTTGTTTAATTGACCACGAAAACGGAAAATGTATTTCCCATTCAAATATTAAGGTAAAGGGATGATTAATAATTCCACCTTTTTTCTAACGGTGCTTGAATTCCGGTTTACATGAAAGACTGGATTTATCGTTATTTAGTTATATATAAATTTGAAGTTTCCAATATTAGCTTATGTAACATATTCTTTACAATTAGACCATAGTTTAGGACATTTAACAAGATAGTAATACTCAATTGGTGTTTTAAAACTTTGAAAATTGTTTCTTTGACAGGAAAGAATGACAGGTATCTCCAAATTAACAGTGAATAAGCATATTTTTATGGAATGTTACTAAAGTAACAAACTTAATGACTTACAAGAGATAACTATTAATCGGATTACTAATAAATTATTGATTGTATACGTTTATGTCTACACAGGAATTTGTTTAAGAGGCTACGCCCACATATGTATGACTCACGAGTACTATCCTTTTTATGGGAAAAAGTAATGGGTAACGCCTCACCTGAACTACCCAATATACTCTATGTATATGTGATTTTATGAAAAGAATGTTAGCCACGTTCTAATAGTAATCATTATTGTCGTTATCGCCATTAAAAAAATAAGAACGAATAGGTGGAAAATGCGATTCTCATCGAGTTTTGAAATGTTATTCGTTTATTTTCTATTGCAGACTGATGTAGTGAAAGGAGCATAGGAACTAAAGCATCTGATAACGTAAAATAAAATAACTTGACAGTCGACGTTTCGTAGACGAAATTCAATAAAACAAATGAAGTTGAATGTAAGAAGAATGTTGTAAAAATAACAGTGGTCTCAATTTATCCTAAGAAAGAACTTAGTTAAGAATATTAGTATTTACATGTATACATTTCCACATATATACAAATATATTTATTACTCGTTAATGTCATGATTAATACCGAGTCAATATTTTGAGTACCGATGAGTATTCTAGTCTAAAGAACTAAAACAAAAGTTATTCAGTGAAAAAATATCTAAACTTACCACCAAAATCTCTGATAAACACATTGTCAAACTGGCAGTGTCGTAGACTCATAAATAAATTTAAATCTCAGATGAGTTTAAATAAGCAACAAACATTATCTGCTCCTGTATTAACTTATTCAGACCGACAGAGAACCTAAATGTTAGTTTAGATGACTGTCTTTCGTTCGAGTGTTTTCAGTCAAAAATTAATGTATATGAATGCGAGTAACCAACTCTAGAGTGCATATTCGAATTATATATTTGACTATGAGTAATCATGGTACAACTTTCATTGAGGTATTTTTTCACTCGGAGAAAACAACTGAGTAGTTTATAAATTGTTACAAAAAGTAAAACATTGCAATTTAATTCCTATTCAATGATTTGCCCACCTTTTTTACCACGTACAACAAATCCAAAACCATTCGGACCTCTTTGAAGTGCAATCATTCTAGGCAAGTTGGTGGTATCCAAATCCCTGTCAAAGAATTAATTACACACAAGAACGAAAATGAATGCACATAAAAATTATTTTAATATCATAATAGAAGGCAAAATTATTACAGATCAAACTTAAGAAGTTTAGTTTATCCTAAAATATATGACTAAAAAGACGTTTGAATAAATGATGAACAAAATTCACTTCCAAATTAGCAAAACAATAGCTCACACTCAAACAGAAATGTCCTTTCTCAATTGAAAATTATTTACTTTAGCCCGAAAAGGATACCAACTTGAAACGTGTAAATCTTCTAGCAAGTTATAATTCTTTATGTTACGAAATATAAATATTTTTTACAGCATTATCAATGCATAACCATTCAGAACGACTACTGAACATAATTGATGAATCTGAAAATAAGGCATACAGAATAATCTAAATGTTCAAACCTTGTATATCCTTAATAAAATATAATTCTAAGCCCAATCATAGAAACTTTGGGCAGTTATAGGGAAAGAAGATCGTAATTCGATTCATTCGTAAATTATTATTACTATTACTTACAATTTCATGCTAAGTATATAAGTGACATTTCTAAAACACTTCTGTTATTACTTAGTGTCTTTAGAAAACGGTAAATATCTATGTTACTCAATATGATAAATGAATTCAAGTGAAATGGAAGCATATTTATCTTGTCCATGTATATATAGTATATTTATTCTACCGCATTTATTTACAAATTGTAGATTGGTTATGGAATACAAGTGTATTATACATAAACGCCAACTTATATACCTGTACTTATCATAATTAAAATAATGTGTATATTTGTTAGTAATAGTCATATGTAATTGTCTTGATATGAGATCAGTGTTAAGGCTATGACCACCACATACGATTGTTCAAAAACATCAATTCATGTGTATCAACCTACTTACAATGCAAATTCAACGAAATCTAACAAACAATGTATGTTTATTGCGTAACAGTCTTATACTATAGACTAAACAACTGCCGTATACAACTAATTACAGGATATATTGTTTGGATAAATGAATGAATGTAAAGAAAATAGCATATGTAAAATATTATTTGGATTTTGATCATATCATATGAAAAATGTACAGTTTATAATCCAGATCAATAATTCGCCATTAGTGAATATTTTGGTACTGAAAATTAACTGAAATGACAAAGTCGTAATCCATTTTTTTTAAAGCAAATTGTTCAATTCAAGAATAAGTTAATGCTTGTTTAATGTAGCAAATGATTTAGTTTTCAAAAGACCGTTTTTTTTGCAGTATTCATTGTAATGATTTGATCAAGGCTAAAAGTCGGACATAATACTCAGCCTTACAAACCGTAACGATTAATCGGCATTTAGAACTCTCCTAGTTAAACTGAATTAAGCCCAAAAAAAACATGGATTTACTTCGTCTGAGAAATGATAGGAAAAATTTACATAAAACAACTTATAAAACTATGGTTCCAATAAGTCATTTATAACAGTATTTCTAAGCACATAATTATTTATTACTACATTAGAATAGACGAATGAGAAGTTTGTAATTCTTGTCAGGATCTGTTGGTTGCTGAAAATCCGCTAAATAATAATATATGTAGTAATAGTTTCAAGACACTTTTCCTGTATTCGACTCTACATTAATTCGAGTTTCGTGATATTAGATTTAACAAGAAGATCACGGATGATGCCAAGACCTTAATGTCTGGTAGTGATCACGACATCTTTAACCGATTGGCTTGGAAATTATTAGTTATTTTGGTAAATTCTGATTAATATTTTCTACAAAGTGGTCCGTGTCCATTGCCAGAAATAAGACTTTCAATCAATATCTCATACTTCTCGAATTATCGAAAGATCGTTTTAATCATTTGCAATAATTACTCTAAATTAACTCTTTTTCTTTAACCGTTTACGGTTTCTTAACAATAATGAATCCACGTTTGTATAAAGCATATTCACTTAAATTGCATGGTAAAGCTAGAATAAGTGAAACGGGAACAAGACTTAATAGTAAGGCATATTGATTAAAAATGCTCTGATTTACTACAGCTGCAACGGTGGACACTTTTTAATTGTGCAGCAATTTGAAGATGACTTATGGAATAGCAATGCGTGCTAAACTACTTTAGCTGACCAAATGTTTTATATGCATGAAAGTTGCACTGGCTTAAGCGAACAAATAAAATCGTTTAATTGGTGCGTATAAATGCAGTTTCACAATTACTCAGTGTGACATCTTTGAGAAATTATATTTTGACTTGTTTGCTTTGAAAGATGATATTATATACATACTACCTAGACTTGTCCATTGTTTTCTACTAGTGATACTTAGGGTTAGCCTGAACAGTGTTAAAAAAACATTTGTTTCACTGATAAAGAAGATGAATTCGCTTTGTAATGCGTAAAAAACGAACAGGCTCATATTGACATTTTAAGTGAATAATCTTTCTGTAGGAATCAGTTTGAATTCATATAAGAAGCTATGAACTTGATATCAGTCACTGTTGAATTTCGCATCACTGAGTGTAGCAAAATTGATGAAATATTTATTGTTGTGTACTGTGAGTTGTTCTGAACATTGACAGATGGATTTTGTCGTTGTTTAAGTTTTCCGAAGTTGGTAATGTCTTGATGAATCCTAAAGCTTATAAATTGAACTCTAGCAAATACTTTTCCTGATCTTAACTTTTAGATAGACGGGAGAGTTGATCAAATAAAACATTTTTACATAAATTAGTCTACGAAAGATATTGTAGATTCATAAGCCAGAGACTATCAGCAAATGCAGATTATGGTAGGGAACAAACCTACTTCCAGATCAGGAGGAAATCAGGAAATGACGCTGGAGTTGAGTAGGATACCCACTGCGGGAGTTATCAGACAAAGCAAGCCCTGACTTGGAGTGCTCGACGCAAAATGAAAAGAGCAAAATCAACGAACACATCATATGGAAGTGAAGACAGACATAAAAAGGATGGGTCGTACTTGGCAACAGCTAGAAAGGAAAGCCCAGGGCAGAGTATGTTGGAGATACTTTGTAGGCGGCCTAATTAAGTCGTAACTTATTAGAGCTTCAAGTGCATGAGAAATTTAGAAAAAACTAATGATATTCATTTATGAGTAATAAAAAGTACAAACAAGCCATGGATAACATACATCACATTTACTTTTTGATTATGGTATATACATTATGAATTGAACGTAATCATTCATAGAAAAACTAAATATATAGTCTATTAAACCGCATCAAAATAATTGTGATGACTCATTTTATGTTACATAGATATGAAAACCAGGTTTAATCTTGTTTAAAACTCAGCAAAATAAATAATTTTAAACAGGTACACTGTTCTAACACAGTAGTTTCCGTAAAGCATATATTTATGTAGACCGTTTCATTTTCAGTTAAACTAATTGAAATAACCCACTCATATGGAGAGATGTTTTTAAGCACTTTACCATTTAAGCTAATTTTCTCAGGTAACAATTAACACATTGCTATTACATAAATTTATTATTTTCTGATTTTATGTATTAAATAGATGGTATTAGCTAATAAATACTAACATCATTCAAATTTCACCACTACTTAAAGAGATCATGACAGAATATTCGTTACTAGATCAATTTCAAATGACATTTGTGAACTTGAGTATTGAGAAAAAAATTTAACCTTGTTACACTTCTTACATTGTTAACAGAGAATGTAAGCAAAGAATAGATCAGATGAAACCACTGCTTGGAATATTAGGATGATTGAAGACTCAATGTATAAATAAATTCCTTGAATTATTCAACTATTCACTAATCATTAATATTTATATTAAAATGAGTTGGATAGGTAAGTAAATAAAGTATACTGTAAACCACAAAAGTTTATTTTAAAACATATACTTACGCAATACTATCACGATTTGCCAATAACAACTGCAAGATTGCTGATCCATTCCTGACACTATTCGTGGATGGAGCTGCAAAGAAATGTTTCAGAAATTAATTAGAATATAAATGTCATACAACCTTCCTTATTTATAAAATAGGATAAAGAAAAAACAACAAAAATGTAAATGAAACACTGATTCATAAACAGTAATGTTTTCTCACTAAGTTGGCAACAAAACACGAAACTTTGATGGTAATATTACTACCTGTATTTATTCCGTTTAAAATGAATTGAACCAGACAGGTGTAAATATATTTCGATCAATATTGAAACCTGGAAGATCCGGATGGCCGCTTTGTTTTAATATAAGACTACTCAGAAGATCGCATACACGATCCCGCATACGGGACTTCATCTATCTATAAGCATATATCATTTCAAAGTCAGACCATTGATTTTTTTAGAACAGTATTATTTATTTATTACTTTCGATGCTGAATATTATATCATGAATGAATAAAAGTACTAATCTTATTAAATAAACATTAAATCGACCTTAGAAAAAGCAAAATGTTCAAATAACTAATTAGAATAATGTCTAAACCTGATGTGACTAATCAATTGCGTGATATACATTATTTGACTAATTAAAAGATAAGTTCGGACGTTTCTATTGTTCAGTCATCTATCTAGTGCTTTTTTTCAAATTGATTTTATTAATAACCTTTGTAACAATAAATACACATAAATAAATCCGTTCATTCCAAAAAGTTGATATAAGTAATGAATATATTCTGTGAGAAATAAGAAGCATGATAGTAATTAAGATTATAACATCTAAATAATGAAATTATAGAAGTCTAATACTTTTTTGTATTATAGAAGAATCTCTATTTATATCTATATATATAAGGATAAGTTTTGACAGTTGTTGCATCAGATATGCAGTTAAGTTTAATGATTAGGTGAAAAACTCGGAATCATGAATAATATTTTAATTTACAATTTTACACTGAATGCATTTCTAAACATTCAATTAGAAGTATTAGTATAGTTGAATTTCAGCTAACACTGAGATCCAGATCTCCTACATAGTCCTATTTTGAACTTTATGTATGGATGTATCTCTGTTTCAGTATTGATGTTCATAGTGAAACTCAAAACCAATCCATTACACTTCAAACACCAATCCATTATTCACTATTCTACCCGTTGAAGAATGTAATGGCATTATTGATAATAGGTAATAGATCAGGGTAGGAATGCATCTAGCTGAAGATTCTCAAATGGACTAATGTCCGTGTCTTAGATTCCGCTGCTAGACACATTTTAACTATACTAAATCCCGTAACTAAAGTCAATATCAAAGTAACCAGTTCAAAATTCAGTCTTAAACATCAACAACGTAAAAACCCAAAACATCACAATTATTTCATTACAGTTTGTTAAAGTCGTTTAGATTGGTCTTATGTTGAAACAATTAATAACTATAATGCGTTTCAGCTCATGAAACAAGATATAAGGTATTCCACATCAGTCACTACGCGAAGTATGCTTGGTAGCGAAGTTAAAATGATGATATTTTAGCTCTATATCAGATATGCAATATATTGCGTATATTCTGTCGTCAGTTAAGATTTAATTTATGGAAAAATACAATACAACGGTACGATATTACCATGAAATCAGTTGATCAACAATGTGTGCATAGTTTAATCACTTATAAGAAACTTTCATTGACAATTTAAATAATGAAAAGAAACCAGATTATTAAAATTGGATAAATTATGAAGTATTTTGTTGTTCAGTAGTTGAATTCATGAGTCAATTGAAGGTAGATTACCATGGAAAACCTGGAAGCACTGGACGGACAGGTTTTCCATGATGGTCTATCTTCAATTGACTGATGAATTCAATTACTAAATTACTATAATATCCATAAAACCTCTCTCTGATTATTTTGCTGTTGTTGAATAAAGTGAACACACTGATCTATGAAACATTCGAAAATTTGGCAGTCGTATAAATTTCATTTTATTCATTCTATTTAGTGATGACTAAATCCAGCTTTAAAGTTACTAAGACTAATAATTTGATATATTTTATGATATTGCTTAACTTTTAACGTTATTTACCTCTAAGAGGTTTTCAATAATGACTCATGTAATAATAATTTCTGACTACAATTAATAACTATATCAGTGACCAATAATGTTTCTTTACATATTTCTCATGTACCTATAAACGGCATTGTTACTTCCATTTAGGATTTCTACAGACACGTTTTATTCAACAACTATTTCAGTATTATTTACCTGGAACCGATGAATATTATCATAATTGATTATCTTACTTTATAATATTCACAATCCAAATTTTCATGTATATAAAGAAGGGTTAACGTAAGATGTATGATAATGAGTTTAATTAAATATCAGTCTTTAACCCCATAAGTGTTTAGTTTCTAATTAGTAATTTTAACACATTAATGATTAGAAATCTGTCAAAAGACTATTCTAATATATTACAACAGCTTTTCTTTAAAAAACATTCAAAACATACCAGGCATTTCACTTAATTGTAATGGTATATTATCGAATCGTACTTTTGCATTTGGCTTTCTTCTCGAACTCCGAGTAGTTTTCACCATTTATAAAATAATTCTTCTAGAACTGCAGAAATTTTAAATAAAATATCTTTTTTTCCTGGTTAAATAAAATAAATTTTCACGTTTGTCTTGGAATGTAAACTCTTGCCTGACTACATTATATAGTTAAGTGAAATTTTACAACTTAATACGCATTGGTTTACATTTATAATTTAGCAATGTCATTTTAAACAACCAGTTTAATTAGAGCATAAAGAAAGGAATGCATTCACCTAATTATTTATATACAAGCTCATATGCTAAAGAGTATTGTGTGTACTGTGTTAGTTATTGAAATTATATCTCTATCAAAAAAGAAAATATCTAGACGTACTTTTGCAATTGATTGATCACTGGGTGGTGATCAGTGTCATGTATGTCAGGTCCTTCTTAGTGCAGATCGAATCCTATCGACCAAGTTGCAATGTGGTCACCAGTCTAGGTGACCCGACATTCCAGGCACTATGTTGAAACAAAATGATGGTTGGAGGTAGTAAACAGGAAACCCTGGTAACGTCTCTGACTGTGAAGTTGGGTGACACGAGATCGAATCCGTCAGGGAGCATAAGTTCCCTCAAAATTACAGGCACACTTTGCTGACGAGTGCCAAGTAGCACGAAACCTAGGTCCAGGGTTTCCAGTTGACTACTTTCAACCACCATCTTATATCCAGACGTACTATTGTACAGCGTTCTAGATAACAATGAATATCATACCTCATAAAATTCTATATTAGTTATGCTTAAATAAAGTGCACATAAAATAGTGAGCTGTTTGAAAATCAAATTATTCTAACAAATGATTAATGCCACCTTACTACCCACACTTTAGAGAGTGTTCCTACATTGAACGATCACTATACAGCAACTGACGCTATATGTATCTGGTCCATAATGCCGATCAAAATTTATCTAATGGTGCACTGACGTTCTGTACACCATGTTTTGACAAGTAGTTGAGGATAATCAACTTCTCAATTTAAAATTTTGGCATAAATCTCTTAAAAACCATCACTTCCTAAGGATTAGGGTACCTTTTCTTCATGTGTTCCAACTGGTTAAAAACCTAGGTTTGGAGTTTCCTGCCAACTACTTCTAACCACATACCTGATACTACATCTGTTTGATATGTGCTAATAGATTAAATACTATTTAAGTAATTACTTCAGTATTTTCTTACAAAAATTTACAATTAGCCGTTCACTACGATTTAGGATCTTCAACTATCGATTACAACTTATGAATAATTATCTCACATTCATTTAATTCTTTTCTAATTCATCCCTTGATTTTATTTTTAGAGGATAATAAACGAAATAAGTTCTCGAATTTCATCATAATCTACATTAACCCATTTGAAGCCTTTATTTTACGCTGACTATCACCAAAAACTAGTTCAGTAGGAAACAAATGATTTTATATTTCTTATTTTATTCAAGGTATGTAATGTTTGTTTTTGTAAACACCAAATTTCGGATAAGCTTGAAAATAATCAGATTAAGTTACTTCATTACTGATTAGATATTGTGGTACGTAGAGAAGATGAACAGAAAATGAGTGGTAAGTTGACTCATTTTTCAAATACAGGTTTGCGTTATTTGCTCTGGACTACAATACTTATAAAAGTGATGGTAATACTATCTGGCACTCTAAACCATAACTGGGAAGTCATCGTACAGACCAGAGATCTTATTAGACGTTTCATACTTAAATAACACTTGATTACACGACTAAATTCATGTATGCTTTAAAGAGCACAACGTCCCATTGATACTAAATATTTTTGCAGCAATCAGCAAAAGATTTGAATATAATTTCCTGAAACGTATTGACTTTATATTCGAATGCATTTTATGTAATGTAACAGTGGTTGGTTGCGATCGGTTAGATCCTTTAAACTCAAGTTTCTTTCAGGTTGGCAATCCTCAACAGAGCTCATCTACAAACATTAGAACCTGGGTTACCTAATATCATAAACGGAAACATTACCACTGTAGTATTCAGGCTTTTCAGTGAATAAAAAATTAATATTGACAAAAAGTCATGTTGTAGTCCACACTTTAGTGACTACGAATGCAGACTATAGGCCAGTTGCTTGTTATTGTGCATAGACACTTTTATTGACGGAATTCCAAATGCAACAACAAAACATTATTACCAAAAACAACTAGATATGAAGTTATTAATAACCTTAAACCTATAGAATGTTTATTCAGTTATTTCATATCTTGTTTAGCAACCCATCCGCTATTTTCAACAGATTATAATGCATTACCTTATAGTAAAATTTGGTAACGTGAAAGAGAAATCATTACTAAATAAATTAATAATATCTGGTTGGAGTGGCCACTGTATTTAATTTATCTAAAATTAACTTTATCATATTAAACATCAAAAGATGACCATACTTTCAAGATAACTTATCACAAATATTAAGTGTTG